ATTACTATTTATGTGAATAGTGGCAGCCATTGCATAAGGTTGGGGTGTTTCCACCCATTGCCATGGCAACCACTATTCTCATGAGATATGAGGAGAGGAATTTGTATAGAGTTTTGGTGTGGGAAGTGAAGAATATGAATAAGTATTTATTTTTAAAAAAAATTTGAAATTTTTAGTTTTTTTTTAGATTTTTATAATTTTGTTGTTGTTGCTGACGTCAGCAAACCCAGGCTAGAGGCCTCCTAAGTCAGCCTTCTCTGCACCTCCAACTCCTAAGTCAAGGGTCTTACAACCTCAATGCCGCCCACTCCCAAGGCCCAAGGCCCAATGCCCAAGTCTTGGATTAATTAAATATTATTAATCAAGCCAACCATGTATAGCCTTCACTACCAATTCCTCTATAAATAGAGATGATTATACATCAATAAAGAATAAGAAAATAGTCCAAGAAAGATCCAAGAGATATCTAAGTTTAAAAACAACTCTTCTCCATCTAGTTTAACAAAGTAAAACCTCCAGATGTGAGCACTTAACCATGCTTATCTTGATCGATATCTTCTTCTTTTTTCTTTTTTTTTTCTTTTTTGTTGAGAACCTTTCCTATTGAGAGAGGCGATAACATACTAAACTCACACACACTACACGGATGCTAGGACTCGAACCTAGGACCTTGCCTGAGGGAGTAAATACTTCAAACCACTACACTAGTGGGTCCTTTGCTGATCGATATCTTAATAGTAAAGATAATGTTCAATTGTAAACGGAATTTTACATTCAATATACGTTTGTAAAATTGATATAAGTATTAAAATTAATTCAATACTTACTCATGATATAACGGGCAGGCAATGAACATAAATAACTGTAGACATATTTTATAAGAAGAAGTATAGCATTGATAGAAATCGATTGTCACAATAGATAAAGAACATAAAAATCTTAAAACAATTAATTATACATTTAAGTAATTTTATTAAATCGTCAGAATAATAAAATATAATTAATTTAGAAACCGTAAAATTAGTATAAACCATAAATATGAAATGAAGTTTATTTATTTACTTATTTAATCACCCCTAAATTCCAACTTGTATACGCTTCTGTGTAGTCCTTCATTTTTATACAATGGTTGGGATTTCATTTCCTATATGCTAACCACAATCTCAATCCTATTGCAATATCATCAATCAGTCTGAGGTGCTTCTAACCATGAGCAAACTACTTGTAAGCTTTTTGATATTTTGCAATATAGCTTTGTCAAATAGTATTTGGAATGGCCAAACAACTTTTAATGTGCTTCAATTTGATGCTGTTGGAGACGGCCAAACTGATGATTCTGAAGTAAGTTTCTCAATTTTTAGAGTGTGTATTTTCGTTTCTTTTGTTATCAATGACAAGGAAGGATTCGAACTTGAGAATTCTTCTGATATTGAAAAGAGAAATATCACTAAATTAATACTTAGTTGATGTTTGCGATACGTGTTCGTAAAGGCTTTCTTGAAAGCATGGGAAGCTTTATGTGGAGCAACTGAAGCTAATGATACAGGGACACCAACGCTTGTAGTACCAGCAGAGAAAACATTCCTTTTGCAAGCTATAAAATTCTCGGGTCCTTGCAAATCCAACTCTGTCCATGTTCAGGTAAGAAAGTAAGCAAGCACACACCAATTTTATAATAAATGGAGGACTTCAAAATTTAACAATTAATTTAACCAAAAGTTGGAATCAATGAGGGTCAATTTTTTTCTTCATTTTTTCCATTTTCCCGTGCTTAATCATGTTTTAGGCTGACATAATTGAGGTGGGTGGATGACAGATTTTGGGGAAAATTGTAGCACCCAACACTCTACATGCATGGAAAGAGTGTAAAGAATTCTGGATATCTTTTTCAGAGGTCACCAATCTCACCATTAATGGAACTGGAGAAATTGAAGGGCATGGTAAACCTTGGTGGAGCAAAGCTAGGCAACTTCACCATGTTGTAAACAATGTAAATTTGTGAACACTAACATTCTAATTTCTTTGTTTGTTCTACATTTTCTTGGTTAATTAATTTGAGTTGGTGAAGTCTAACATGATAGAATTTTTGCTCACTTCTAGGGCTACAAGGTGAAATGCGACACACGTCCCAAGGTGAGCTCTACATAGTTTTCTATGCATGAAGATTTTCGCACGTATTTCTTGGAGAATGTTCCCTTGTTAGATTATAAATCTGAACTATTAATATAATTGATTCTTACTTAAACATGTGATTCTGATTTACAGTATGACAATATATGCATATAACTTTTATCTAATGACAGAAAACTTAATACCAATTCGTGTGTATGTCTCTATATACTTTCTGCAGAGGAAGAATAGAATTTTTGCTCACTTCTAGGGCTACAAGGTGAAATGCGACACACGTCCCAAGGTGAGCTCTACATAGTTTTCTATGCATGAACATTTTCGCACGTATTTCTTGGGAAATGTTCCCTTATCAGATTATGAATCTGAACCATTAATATAATTGATTCTTACTTAAACATGTGATTCTGATTCACAGTCTGACAACATATGCATATAACTTTTATCTAATGACAGAAAACTTAATACCAATTCGTGTGTATGTCTCTATATACTTTCTGCAGAGGAAGTTGCCAAAATAATATTGGTAACAAATTATTAGAATGTGGAAAATTGTTGCAGGCTATACACTTCTACAAATGTGATTATCTTCAATTAAGTGGACTTAAACATCTTGACAGTCCAAAAGCACATATTACCATAAACAATTGCAACAATGTTAGTGTCTCCAACCTTCATATTATTGCACCTGAAGATAGCCCCAACACAGATGGAATTGACATCTCCATGTCAACCTTCGTCAATATCCATAACTCCACAATTGGAACTGGTAATATCAATGCATCAAATCTTCTATCTCTTTCACTTATTAGCAATATTATTATCGTCAACTAATTATTATGTAATTGCATAATGATAAAATAATAATTGTTATTATTATTTTACATTTAGGTGATGATTGTATTGCTCTTAATAATGGCTCATCACATATCAATATCACCAGCATTGTCTGCGGACCAGGTCATGGAATTAGGTCAGTACATATTTTGATTGCTATATGTTTTTGCAAATAATGCACGCTAAATGCAAGGGGTTTGTAGCTCAAGTAGTTAAGAGTATTTATATTTGTATCCGAGGTTCTAAGTTCGGCTCCCCCTTCCCCAATTTCGCTTGTATCAACAACAAAAAAACATGCTAAATTTCTAACTCCTCCATATATAGTGTGGGAAGCTTAGGTGAAGATGGAGCTTATGAGACAGTAGAAGAGGTTCATGTGCGAAACTGTACTTTCAATGGTACAAAGAATGGAGCTAGAATCAAGACATGGCAGGTAATGAACATTAAACCCAATACAGTTCATGAGCCCTGATCCTTTTTTTCACTGATGTTGTGCTTATGTCCAAAGCAACGTCGTTTCATGATTTTGTTTAAATATGAACCCTAAATCATTCTAAATCCTGAAACGCCGTCGTATTGAAGTTGAACACAAGCACAATGTGTCTTGAACTAGTCCAATTTTCCCATATAACAAAAACAATCATGTTTTGTTTTGTTTTTTTTTTTCAGGGCGGTTCTGGATACGTCAAAGGGATATCATTTGAGAATATCACACTAATAGAAGCTAAAAACCCTATTATCATTGACCAATATTACTGTGATAAAAATGGACACAACTGCAAACCGTCAGTGAGTTTTCTCCATTACTTTTTATTGTAAAGGTCTTCAGAATGAACACTTTAATTAACCCAGATTTAGTTAACTTAATTCTGATGTCAATGGGGTCTAGTCCAGTGGAAAAGGGCCTTGATTTGCAGACCAAAGGTCTCATGTTCGAATCCCCACGGCATCATAATTGTGTGTGTGTGAGTAGTTTAGACTAGTGTTTGCACTAAAAAAAATTCTAATGAAAAACATGGGTTGTGATTTCAATTTTTTTGGAAAATTGACAGGCTTCGGCAGTAAATGTAAGTAATGTGATTTACAGAGGGTTTCAAGGGACTCATGCAAATGAGGAGGAAGCGATTATATTTGATTGCTCCAACACTCCAGGTTGTCAAAACGTAACCATGAACCAAATCAACATCACTTCCACAGTTGATCCTGGAAAGAACATTTCTGCCGCTTGCAAGAATGTAAATGGAACTTTTGACCCTGCTGTCCCTTGCTCACTATGGGCCTATCTGCACCCTTGATTGACCCAATTTTGATTTGTTTCATTTTAAAAGAAGTGTTTTTTTCTTCAAATGTTAGCTTAGGAATATTTTTTCAAATGATGTTGGGCGTGGTAAGTAATGTAGGTCGGGATAAAAAAGCAACAAATTTGATGAGTTTTCAAATATAGTTTATGGGTGTTGTGAGTAATTGCATATTCTGATTACATTGTTTTTGGGTGCTTGAAGACTTTTATCTTCGTGGAGTCCAAATAGTTTCTTTACCATTGTGGGCTGACATTTTCCTCTTTATGTGATTGAGTTTGCATTCTTGATGAGTTCATTCTCATCTCTTTTAAACATAAAGGGTGAGGTGTGTTAAGATAGTAAGGGCTAAGGAACAAGGAGTGAGTCTTGTAAAGGCATCTGAAAACCATTGAAATTTCTCAACTGGGAGGTTGGACCAATTTTTTTTCTCCTCATTATTATAAATGATTTGTTTTTTAGTACAAGCAAAATTGGGAAAGCAGAGAATCGAACTTATAACCTCGGGTGCTCTATTATATATGAGTTGATTATGTTGTTTCTGTTGTTCAAATGAATAGATAGGCCATGAAAGTAGCTGAAAGACAAGGATGAGACTGAATTGCAACTCCATTTATTACTCACCTTAGCAACTGAGTGAACTAAATACATGGCCATACATTCAATTACAGCTCAGGATGCAAAAAAGTGAGAGTAGTAGCAGTGGCATGTACTAATATTTCCATTGAGTATTATAAATCCCCAGCTAACTGTAGATATGTGTCAATTCAAATCCACATGAAACTCATTAATGTATACCAACAATGACTTTGATGAACATATTTACAATCATAATGAACTTTTCAACCCACTCTTCCCCATCCAAACCCATACAACAAACCAGTTACATACATCCCAATTGACATGAACACTTTTGGCCCATTTCCTATAGACCACAAAAGGGTCTAAAAAAGATGAAACAGAGGAACAACACAGAAAAAAGAATTACAAAAAACACAACAAAAAATGAAAGATTCTTTCATTAATTCGCATCTTCCGACAAGTACTTTAAGTTAATCTTCCAAGTCATCTAATCACTTTTTTCTCATCAAATGATCCATCCTTGATCAAGTTCAAACTTAGACTATTGAACCGCTCTCGTGAGTACTGCCTTGAAGCTTTCCTCCAATCTGTGCCGGCCTTCATCATTGCAGCAAACTCCTCGTAACTTATTCGTCCATCCTGCAATCATGGATGGGCATTGTGTGTGAACTCTAAGCAAGCATAAAAATAAATTTTTTTTCGACACAGATCATGGAGGACTGGCATGATTTTAGAGTATCATGCATGGCAAGAAAAATTCCTGTTTTTGGCTCAGACTAACAACATGAAGATACAATTTCAAAAGGAAAATGATACGAATCATTTATAATTTTAATTAACATGAGATTTTACCAACCTTGTCTGTATCCACGTCATTAATAATGGCATTAGTAACATCTTCAATGTTGTCATCAACTTCAGTAGCCAAGGCTTCTCGCAGCTCCTCAATCTCAATATACTCACTTTGGTTTCGATCAAAGAATTGAAATGCTTTGCGAAGGTGCACCTCATCATTGCCCATCTTTCTTAGATGAACGGAAATGGCTACAAATTCTCCATAGTCCAGACATCCATCATTATCAACATCACCCTGTTAAAGAAAAAGCACAACCTCTGATTACTATGTGCAATACACAGAATTTTACAATTATGTAATTCAGAAAATAATCCAAGCATTCTTCTGACTTGAATGTACATAGAGATAATACGTTCTGTCATGTCAAAACAATGACTTTTATTCCCCCTTCACCTAAAGTTCATAACTGATTAAAGGTCACTTCTGCAAATTCCTTTTTGCTTAGATATATCAAACATGTAGGTCGACACTGAAGACCAGCCTAAGAGGAATTTGGCCACTTAAAAGAAGAGTTTTGATTTAACTTCTTTTTGTTTCCATTAAATAAAATTGGGGGCTAGGCATTAGGGGGTTAGAGGACTTGGAAGAAGTTAATTCATCCAATGTGATTTCCTGTTAGAAGTACATATGAACAAAATAGTCATGCTTGGAGATAAATTAATGCTAGCATTATGCCATTTTCTATTTCCTCTCACAAATTTCAAAGCCCATTTGAAAGTGACCTTAAAGGCAATAAATTAGGGGCATTACTTCATAGTCTAAATGCCTTCAGATTTAACCACCCCGTTTTTTGTCAACACCCCACCCCCACTAAATTTTTTTAAAAAAAAATTATGGCTTTTTGCCGTCCCCTCACTTTTTTCTGGCCCCTGGACATTTACAGTTGTAACTGTAATTGTATCACAGTTACACCCTCAAGGTTACATTTTTACTTCTCGATCATTGCTTAAGACTTGGGAGTTCAATTCTTAATTTTTAGGTGCAGCCCAAATCCAGGAACTAAACCTTAGACCTTAAGCTCTAAAATTGGCCTAAAGTAATCTATATCTCAAATTCTAAGCTCTAAGCCTCCCTAAACTGTATAAACCATACACTTATTCAGGATAGTACTTACAGCTTCCATCATAATTTGAAGATCTCCATCAGGAATCTGATGGCCAAGTTTATGCAACCCAACTCTTAGCTCATCAATGTTAATCTTGCCCTTGTTGGTAGTATCCATGAGCTTAAATCCCTCCTGTATGCCAGCAACTTCCTCCATTGACAAATGCTCAGCTATAACCTGTTAATTTAAAATTCCAAAAGATTCAAAAAGACGTGGAAAATAAAAACATTAGTAACAGAGGACTCATTCATATCACAGTAGAACATCCAAAGAAGATGAACAGGGTTTGACATATTATCAAACAGAAATATTTGAGGCATTACCTTCAGTGCTCTCTTCTTGAGCTTGTTCATTACAGTGAATTGCTTGAGCCTCGCCCGCACAGTTTCACCTAAAGAAACATTTGGAGCTTTCTTTGCATTTAGTAACCAAGGATGATCTGCAAGAACAAGATGTATGTTTATATTATGATTCAGAAGTTTTTAAACTCATGAGCAAATCCTTCTAGCAACAAAAGTTTCATTTATACCAAACAATAATGATTGTCATTCACAGAACGGAACATTACCTAGAACTTCCTGAGCTGTAAGCCTCTGCTTTGGGTCAGGATTAAGCATCTTCTTCACAAGGTCTTTTGCATTATCAGAAACCTTAGGCCAGGGGTCTTTCTTAAAGTCCACAACAGAACGTATAATTGCTTGTGCAACTCCCTGTTCAGTTTCTGCACAGCAAGATAATAGATTTGAAGTCAGAAATTATCAGAGATTATAACGCTAGGAAAGCCAGCAAGCAAATTAGAATTCGTAGGAGCAAAGAGAAATTAGAAAAGTGGAAACTTCATTCCATGGTCTTTATTCTACTTGAATGCACATAGAAATACATTTGCAGTAACTATAATCTGGTGGCTGCCACTTATGCTAGTAAGTAAATTCCTAACCTACAACACATAAGCTTGTATTTTGATAACAGCAATGCCAAATTCTGTTTCTATTCGTTATCAGTTGATGAAAATTAACGTATTTGGATTATATATTGGCAAACCATGGTCCATGCGTCAACAGGGTAAGCGCACAGATAGAGTATACGTGGTGAACGTGAAGTTTAATATAGTGTTCCCCTCTTAATTTTTTCAGTGAGAATATAGGCAGATGCAGCTTGCATGGCTATCTAGAGTGAGTGGGAGTGTTAACTTGCAAATACCACCGAAAATTACACGTACTTACTTTTTCTGAACATACTTAAGTCCAAGAAAGTATTCATAGATGTATACATGTCCAACATGCCAGTATGCATGTATGACCATAGTGTATATGTAGACACTTTGGCATGACCATGTAAGGTACTTAACATGCATAAAGGTAATTACTGTCCATCAGGAGTTGTAACTCCACTAAGGAAAAAATATTAAACCCACACGTGCACACACACACACACACACACAAACCTGCCCAAAAAGGTGGAACTCCACATAGTAAGATGTAAAGTATAACTCCAGCGCTCCACACATCTACTTCAGGACCATAATTGCGCCTTAGCACCTCAGGGGCCATGTAATATGGACTTCCAACAATTTCATTAAATTTTTCACCTGGTAATGTACATGAAAAGATAACACATTGGTTAAACAAAACAAAACAAGAAAACCAAATGTGATAGTTTCGAGAAGACTTTACCTGGTTTAAAGAACACTGACAACCCAAAGTCGATTGCCTTTAAAGCAGCTGTTTCCTTCTTGTTTGCAAATAAAAAGTTCTCGGGTTTGAGATCCCGATGCATCACACCATGCTTGTGGCACATCTGCAACAGAATTAAACACATTAACTCATGCCAACGCATGTAAAACTATTAAAAGGTGGATTCCTCAAAGAATAAATCTTGTGAAGGAGAATCTGTTCTATACATAACAAGGAAAAAGAATCAATTCACCAAATTCCAGCAATTACAATCTGACCATCGAAAGCTAGATTAACTGATATACAATGATTATACTCATCAAAGAATTAAACAACCCAACTTACCCAAAAGAATTTTATCAGCTACTTCTTTCTAAGTACTTCCAGGTAATCAACTGACTATTTTCTATCTATTCAACAAAAGATCTTAATTTACAAGAAGCAGAATTAATTCTAAATTTAACCATAGTCTAGCACTTCCAAAACCAAATAGTTCTTTTAAATAAAATCAATCCCCCACTACATAAATTCAACAACAAAAACTCAAAAGAAGATCCAATCACCAATCGAACAGCATCACTCAAAACCACCCAAATTCTCACCTGAACAACTTCCACAATTGTCTTCGTGACGGCGGCAGCCGCACGCTCTGTGTAGTGGCCTCTGGAAACGATTCGATCGAACAACTCACCACCCTCACAGAGCTCCATGACAAGATGGACAGCATGGTCATCCTCATATGTGTCTTTCAAGCTCACTATGTTGGGGTGCTTAGGCATATGCTTCATGATCTCAACTTCTCTCCTTACATCCTCGATATCCACAGCTGTCCTCAGCTTATTCTTCGAAATCGATTTACAAGCAAATTTCTCGTTGGTGGCCTTATCGGTGCAAAGATATGTAATTCCAAACTCTCCTCGGCCGAGCTCGCGACCCAGTTCGTATCTTAGCTCGATTTCAACGCCAGTTGGGTCTTTCAGCACAGAGAGCTTGGTGCCTCCATTGCTCTGGTTGCCGGGGTAGTCTATTGCAAATGGGTTCTTCCTGTTCTTCTTGTCTTTCAACGGTGAACCCGTTTGAGGGGTCACACAACAATTACCCATCTATGAAAAAAAACGCTTTGTTTGCCAAAATGGGTTTCCGAATTTGAACACAATTCCGGAACGAATCGAAATCTGAGCTCTTTGGATAAAAATAGTAGATGGTTTTTTGTTTTGAGATCCAAATTGCTGTGCAGCCCAATTGTAATGAGAATTTTCAGATATAAGGATGGGATTTTGTAGGAAGTATTTTTAGGATAAAATGGAAGATGACCAGAATTTGATATGAGGTAGGTGATTTATGGAAATGAAGAGAGAGGGTTTTGGGTTTGGAATTGGAGAAGAGGCTGAGAAGGAGAATTTAGCGTGTGAAAACCATCATTTGATGAAAGAGAAAGAGAGAGAAGACAGAGAAATGGTCCAGCCTCTTTCGCAGAGACTTCCGCAGGGACTTCCCTCCTACCCGCTCTTTCTCTCTCTAGACTCCCTCTACCTCTGTTCAGACACAGTTGGATACACAGATAGAAATTTAGAGAGAGAATCCAGATTCCAGAAGGGAAGAGCTTTGTTGTTTCCTAAAATATTCAAAACAAAATTTAATTATCTCTATTTTTTAAGGTGCATAAACTATGCCCTCGATCTAGGTCCAAAATTACAAATGACATCTAATTTTGTTTACCATGTCTTTTCTCTTGGTATTGACAATAGTACCCCCGTTGCCATCTCTTATATTTTGATATAATTTGTTGTATATAAAGAAAAAGAAAACAAACCATTTATTGGTGAAGAATAATAACATCATTTTCAGGTAGGATCAATATACATGAATACCAAGTGAGGTTTTGTTTGTTCTAACAAAAGTACATCAAAATTAGAGTTGGACATTTCAAATCGTAAACGGGTCAGCTAGCTCAATTATGTTCTCATTTTTTTCTTTCTCTCACGTAGTGAGAATTTGGGATCTTCTTCTCTTCGCTTTGTCTCGCTCTCTCCGCCTCTCTCATCTCCTTCATCAGCTTGATCCAACTTCATCAATTTTTTCATCTTGTCTTAATTTTCTCCAATTAATAACCTAGTCGGTATGAAAAATTAGATCTCTAGCTAATGGTTAATTGCGTTCATCATGCCTTGATTATCTTCATTAGTTGAATCATCTCCGTCATACCTCCTTGGTCTTCTTCATGATCAGCTTAATCCAACTCCATCACTTTTCCATTATCTCTTGTTCTCCTTTAATTTTTCTTTTCTTTTCCTTCTTAGGGATATCTTGCTCACTGTGAAAGTGGCTCAATAGTATTCCAATATTCATGCATTAACATAAATATATATCTCTGATAAATGCAGTCCTAGCCTCCAAGACATTTAAGTACCATCAATTACATTCTCATTACCAATTTGAAGTCACCTTAATTTGTGTATATGTCCGGAGAGAATTCTCAAATAAACTCATTGGTTTTGTTGTTGTTGATAATATGTGTTATTCTAAACTAATGTATGAGAAATGAAATCGAACTCAGATGCAAGGAGACTGACACACTAATCAACTGACCTAACTCATATATGCAAATAAACTCATTGATTCGGATACTGTAAAACATGTTCTTTATATCAAAAACACACAGAAGGTACGTACAGATATCATTAGATTAGGAAATCTGTGTTTTTGTTTAAACAAGAAGAGCAAGGTACTACGAACAATGTGTAAATGGAAAGATGCAACTGTAGCCCCTACAATAGATAATCTCTCTCTCTCTCTCTCTCTCTATATATATATATATATATATATATATATAAAACACCATTATCACCCTTGGCATACACATCCTAGTTGACTCGATCACCATCTTTGATTCATATAATACAAATATATAAATAAATATATGAAAAGTAGTTCCTGCATTGAACCCAATAATATTATGTTTACCTCAAAATAGAGGTTTTCGGTGGACCAAACTTTAAAGAAAAAAAAATCATAGATCAAATTTAAGTTTTAAATTTTTGAAAATTTTAAAATTTACTTAGTTATAATAAAAAAAATTTGAGAGTTGCTATGAAAATTATAATTATTTAATTAACACTAGTCTTTCTGCATCTGCGAGAGGTTTTTTTTTTAAAAAAATTTAAATTTATTTTAGAATTAAAAAAGATAATAGGTAGTTGTGTTTCATAAAAAATACTAAAATAGGATCCATTATTTGATTTTTCTTTTAATTTTAATTTTTTTAATATGAAAAAGTGTGAATTTACCATATTATCTTCATTTAATTAATAATTTCAATTCTTAATGTTCGCATTAACCAAAGACATTTTTTGATATTTTAAATGTTTTACCATTTATGAATTTACCATACAGATAATATGCATACAAGTGTTAGTGTAGTAAATAAGAAGAGAAGTTAGGGCAATATTGTGATAACGTAAAGGGACAAAAGGTTGGTCATCTTCTGGGCCGACACGCTATGCATTCAGTTGACAAAAGTGACCTACTCTCTATCCTTCTCGTTATTAAATAAAAAAGACAAATCTAATGGATTATGCTCACGTGGCTCGATTTAACTGGCTGGCCTTGTTCATCGTAGACCTTCTAGAAGCCACCTCTGATATACAAATTGCCTTCACAATTTAATTCAGTATATGCCACTGACTATACAAATTATCTCGGAAGGGTACTTTTGTCCGATCAGGATATTTTTATAGCCTTTATTGACCGCCAAGTCGCGCCAAACCATTAACTGCCAAATGATTACTATTTGTAATAGGGTTTTTATTAGGGGTGGACATTTGAACCTGCGAACTGAGTCGAAAAATCGAAAAAAAACCGTGTTAACAAAAGGAAGTCAATTTAGGCTAAAAAACCGAACTAAACCGCTTTGGATCAATTCCTGCCCCGATTCTTATCTTGGAAAAATCAATCTAAACCAAACCGAACCAATTATATTAAGTTTACTTATTCAATTTTACCCAAAATTATTAGTAAGCTTAATTAATATGCAACTAACATTAGTAATTCCAAATAATATTTAGATATTTTAGTATAATTAATACTCAAATGTCTAGTTCCAATTTATACCAAACTAAATAACTAATTTAGTCCAATTTATTTTTCTTGTTGGTGAACAATACTCGTTCTTGTTGTACTCCTGCCTATTTTTCTCTTCTTTTCTATTAAAATGTCATAAAATTTTGAGTATAAAACTACAAATCTGCAAATTAATCCTCATTTCTATTTGGCCAGACCCTCTTGGTGTTTTTTTTTTTGTCGTCGATGCCAACAAAAATGCCCGAATAAATAAAAAGCTAGTATCTGTCTCCAAGCAGGCACAGGGGGCCCAGCCGTCCAGGGATGGGGCAAAAAGGACAGTTTCGTCATTTAAACGGAAGAACAATATAATGGCATCAAAAGCGTCGCCCTCCAATTTTGGCATATGGGCGACCAGTCAAAGATGACGATTTTGACTCGTGGATGCACCATGTTGAATTTTGGAGTGGCCAAGTAGACACTATTTTTAGCCTTTGAGTGGGTTTTTCTTTTTTTAATATTTGTGCTCCTTTATTTTTGTGACTCTTTTTACGTGACGTTAAGGCACAGAATTTTATCTTGATTTTGGTTGTCAGGATCATGAATTTAAAAAAATAAAAATGAAAAGCAATTGATTGATGCTTAAAATTGGACTCAGCAAAAACATGTTGAATTTTGGAGTGGCCAAGTAGACACTACTTTTAGCCTTTTTTTTAATATTTGTGCTCCTTTATTTTTGTGACTCTTTTTATGTGACGTTAAGGCACAGAATTTTATCTTGATTTTGGTTGTCAGGATCATGAATTTTTATAAAAACTGAAACGCAATTGGTTGATGCTTGAAATTGGACTCAGCAAAAGTGCAGCTCTGAGCCAGCCGGAATACCGGAGGAAAGTAAACGCCACAGAAATCTTACAAGACAATGAAGACAAAATCTATAATAAATTCAATTAGAACGGTATTAATAGAGTGTTTTGAAATGACATTTTTGTGAATCGAGATCAGTATGTTGGGTTTATTACGATGTCGTATTTTAGTGACACGATAATGAATGCAATTCTATCATTCTGTTTATTACGATGATAAGTGAAATTGTTAAAAAGTTAGATGGACTCAAGCTACACTTACAACTAATAGTCTAATTGATAGAAGTTGGTTTAGACAAAGTGTAGCTTGAGTTCATCTGACTTGTGAATAGTACTTTGTTTGGCTTTGCTGCATGATGAGTAAGCCACATAATTAGGCTTAATTACTAATGTGGACTCATTAGACAGCTCATCTAAGCTCATATGTTTTACTAGTAGTCGTTTTTTATTTAATGAAAATAAATATTATTAAGTCATGAGAGATTACCATGCTAAAAAGGAACATCATGAGGCTCCTCAAAGCAAGCACAAGCTTTCTCAATATGCAAACACAATCTAACTAGATGATGAGTCGGACCATTAGCACTACGACGAACATGAACAAAGCTAGATATTTCAATGATGATTCCTAAAAACTCTTTTGTATCTTTGATAATCACAGGCAGGTTGGGTGCCTGCCCATCCCAATTTTTTTCCTTTAAAAAAAATTACCTACATGTGTTATAAGCCCATTTCAAAATTTAAAAAAATTAAAAGCAAACCCTACACATATGTTGCTCATTCAGGTGGTCCCATATCTTTTCTCTCCTCTTTTGGCTATTAGACTTCTTGTTTCTCTCTCTCTCTCTCTCTCTCTCTGCTACCCAATAGCAGCAAGTTTCTCCCTTTTTTTGGGGGGTCAAATTCTCCCTCTATTGGCTACATCTTCTATTATCTTGGGTGGGCAACTTGGCAACAATATATTCTCCTCTCCTTTTGTCAACAACAAGTATTATTCTCATTCTCTCCTTTGCTATATATCTTTAATTATAGTTTTAATTTAAAAATGAGTATTTTAGGAATTAAGGATGAATTATAATTTTGGGATTTTGTTGAAATTATTTAGGGCTTTGATTAGGGATGAATTATTGTATGGATTTGATTTGGGATTAAATTGGGTATTCTAGGGTTTAATTATGGATGAATTATAAATTTTGGTTTGGTATTGTTGAGATGCTCCAATGAAAATTTGTTTGATTTTTTATTGGTATGTTTGATTAAAATTCTTTCTATATATTATTCATAGCCTATCTTTTAAGAGTTAGAGACCCAAATGACGAATACAGCTGAAATAGTCTGGAAGGATGCACCCTTAAAGGCAACATAATGGAAGCTAAAATTACAAAACAAAAGAAACATTCTATCTAGTCGTTGAGATTATAAAAGTTTGCCAAAACCAATATCTACTTGAGTGATTGTCCCTAGTATTCTTATTCTTATGCTTATTATAACCGAAATTTATAAATGTGAACGATGCTTTAACATTCTCAATGTGAAACCTGACTTTGGCATTGCAAACAAGTATAATTGAGGCTGTATCCCAATCCATCCACATGGATCACCATTCAATTAAATGCTTACTAATGGGCGGTGCCAACGTTACTTTGACAATATTTCCAAGATAATGGTTAGGTTTCATGACAA